AGCTAAAAGCGAAGCGTTGTTCTCAACGGAAACAGAGCTTCAAGAAACCATGGCAAAGAGCATGGAGACAGCTCAGAGCGTACTCACCAGAATCAACACCGTGAACTGGACAGGGCGCGGCAGCCCGTACCACGTGCACTTGAACCCCGACGGAAACCCAAGGAGCCCCGACGGAACCTCAAGGAGCCCTGCAAGTCACAGAACAATTATAGCAAACGCCGACAACAGCAAACAACGCCGTCCGTGCGGTGGAGAGGTAACATTTATCCATGCACGGCGGCCCAGATACGAGAAACAAGACATCCACCAGAGCCCTGCGCTCCCCGTAGAAGGCGTGCTTAGGTCATGGACGTACTTGTAATACGATGTACCCAACAAGTATCGTCACAGGTGTGACACTCACTGTTACTTTCCACTAGGACCATGTTCAGAGCTGAGTTCGCGAACACCAGGTCGAAACAACTGTGATGGCATACGACACACGACGAGCGGGTAAGGATATAACACATAACTCATGTAAAAAAAATGACAAGGCCGCATAGATAACCCATGGGCACTGCTACATGGAGCGGGCGTCTTCGCTTGGACAACGCCCTGACGGCAGGAGAACCCAACGCAGGCGGTAAACGTACGGCGGAGAGCGGTGTTCGACCAGCTTGAGGGCCAGCGTTCTGGCCCGTCTTCATAGACAACAACGGCCGAAGCCATATTTCCTTGTTTTTCATGCGGATGCGGTGTACTACCAGCAATACCTTACCATTCATTATCCCAGTTGTAACGGCGATGTCAGACGAAGGGCCGCGCTGCCTGAAACGCCCAGCAGCAGCTTAACCTCGATCCGTTCAGCCTGAATAAGGTACCGCGGAAACACCGCGCAGGGCCAAACGCAAAGCCGTTCCATAGTCTATATAGACACAGTAGGAAGTGGTAAAATTTGTCCCCAAAGATGGATGTGATAACCAGTCGCAACGGGTCGAGCGCATGCTGTAGAACCTTAGCTCTTTGTCCTGTAACCTTGTCGGACGTTCATCCTCGGATCTCGTAGATCTTGTTTGTGGGGCAGCTCTCGGCTCATCTACGTAGAACCTAGAACTACAGTACATGCACAGCCGCATCGAAGGCGGGAAAACTTGCATAGACTAGACTACGGCAGTGGTGGCATCGGTTTTTTCGGCTACACTGCCCAACCCAGCGTGCCTGGGTTCTCAATCAACGTGACGTTTGCTTCCGGTACGTGGCTGGTGTTCAGGGCGAGTTTCCAAGGAACAGGTGGGTTGGTATCTGCACACCGTCGCCTTCTAGCAGCCAATCAGCAACACACACAAAATCGATTCTTCATGGGGTCTGGTGGGATACATATCCCAGCGCGGTCTTGCGATGTCGAGACTACAAGCAATCTCTCGTCAGTGCTTGGAAAACCCCTTCTTCCTCGGGGGGCTAGACAACTGTATGTAGGCTAGTAATTAATGTATCCTAGAGGAGGGAGGAGGAGGGAGCGTGTCCCTTGCAAGACGAAATTTGTGATCGTCAGCACCTGGTGTGAAACCCCATGGCTGTGAATCATTCCTGAGTGGGCGATGTTACGCCAAACAATTGCCTCAAGTTCGCCTACGTACAGTGCGTTGGCAAAGCTGCTATCCGGTCACCACACCACACGTTTTACTCCTCAACACCTGGCGAGGATGTAGTCTAGTTGTCAGCTACGCTGCTCTCAGGACTTTGAAACTGATTCAACAAATAAATGCAACCTGTGCGCTTGATTCGACGCTCAATATACGTCGATTGACAACGGAAGACAAAACAAGCGTGGTGCGTCTGTTCGTCGCCGTGCCTCTTTGCTGACGCAATGGGCCGTTTTCACCACAAGCATTTCTCGCCAAAATGTTTCGCCCCAAGAACTAGAGAAACGATATAATATTGAACGACTTATTTGAAAAGCGGCACATGGCGCCGCCAGAAACAGCAGTACACTCCAGCAGCGTGCTACCGCAGGTGAACGAGTCGTGTATGGTGACAGCCGAAAATAATACATGAAACACGAAAATTATGTTCAGTTTCAGGAAGAACGAAATATATTTATTCCGAGAACGGATCGATCGGAAGAAATTGGCAATGCCCGACGGCCAACGGGCAACGCCAAAAACAACGCGGCCAACAAGCGGGGGGTGTTGACGAGGAAGATGCTCACCTTCATCGGATATGCAGCATGTGCACTTGTATCGTACTAAGTAGGTTTGAAAAGAAGCCGAAAAGATTGAGAGGAGGCGCCGCAAATGTGAGTGCTGCACGCGGACAAAAAAGTGTAGTATGTGCGCGCGGTTTTCTTTTCTAGAGCGTTTCAATATGTACTGTGTTCCGTATTGAGATCATGCCCCCTCCTACGCAGGAATGAAATGACCTACGTACATCCTCAATGTCTGTCACCAGTGTGAGACTACAGTAGGCGTGTGGGATCACGGGGCTACAGAGGCTCTTTTTCTTGTGTGCAGCACAGACAGCAGTCCCACCTCTCTCTGTGTTTCTCTCCCGGGAGTTTGGCGGTTTCGCTCGGCGGTTTTTTTCCCGCTACCTCCTGCTACTTCTATATTGTAGGTGGCATATATAACGCATCAGCTACGGCGGCCAGTACATCTCTCATCTCACCTCTACGGTATGTGTCTGTTGTGTGCAGCGGCGCACGCGCGGGCTCGGGGTGGGAGGCTATACAGGACCACGCTGAGCGCTTGAGGAAAGGTAGGTTCGGTACAATGAATGTGGGAGTCATCTCTCCTGGTATTTGAATGTGATGAATGTACTTTCTACGTAACACCGCCTTGTCGATACCATGCCAGAAGAAATTCCTTTTTTTCTGGTTCTTCCGCGGGAATATATACGTTCCGAACAGAGAGGGGCTCTTCTGTGTGACCACGGGTTGGAGTAAACGGCACTATTTGCTGTGAGCGCTGATTTGAAGTGAAGACAAAAAAAAAAAAAATACCTTCCGAACCAGAACAACATAAGAAGAACGGAAACAAACACGCAACAAATCTTTAGAAACCTTTCCTGTCCCCCCCCCTCTCGGCCCCTTCGATGACGCGCACAACTGCCCCATTCTTCTGGTCATCAGCAAGCGCACCGCAAAGCAGAAAGGCGAGAGGAAGTGGTTCGATCGAGACCGAGCTAGAAGACTTCATCGCAAGAGAACTGCATACATACATACGCACGCCACCAGGGGAGAGAGATCTCGTTGCCAAGAGACAGTAAGCAAAAAGGTGGGTACGCACGGCGGACTTGTAGCAGGTCGTTGTGGTTCAACAGAAAAGTGTTGACGCTCGATTTTCAACTGCATCCACCAGACCGTATCAAACTTGGAGAGGCACAAGAGATCAGGTAAAGGGGGGGGGGCATAGGTAGCTGCAGAGGCGAGAGCGCCAGCAATATCAGCAGAAACATATCCCCGAACCCACTTTTGTTTTCCTCTGTCTCTTTTATTGAAGCTATGTACGTAGACTACGCAGCAGTTGTTGTCGACGCGCCAGCGCGTGCTACAGTATTTGTAGAGAACCAAAGCGAACGTGTCTCGTAGTACAACTGCGGAGCGCGTTGTAGCGTTCCGGGTTTCCGAGCTACGTAGCACAGACCCGAACCCCTTTGCTTAGCACCTCCTTCACAAGAAGAGTGCGCTGCTGATAAACCATCGCTTGCAACGGCTTTACGCTTGCAACGGCGGAGCGTAAAGCCGTGAGACCAGTTTTTGGGGGGGCAGAAAATATTCGGTTGAAGTAGACTGGTGCACGCGTTCAGACGTAACAGACGAACGTACGGGTTCGTACTTGCATTTCGTGATACGGCGACCACTGATCCGCACTCCCCCCCCAGCGCCAATGAACCGAGGTGCTTACAAGCGGCATCTGAGACGGACTTTTGCTGCTGTTTTGCGTGCCCTAGCTCCCTCATCATCGTAAAAACGTTTCACTTCAACATCCGTTCTCGATACTTGTCTCCGTCAAGCACCATACACCGTGTCACCTCATGACACCTGATGACACCTCATGCGCCTCATGACACTTCATGACGCCTCATGACACCACCAAGAGCCGTCAATTAGACTCGAGAGAATCTGTATGGTGTGGCTTGGGCGTGACGAGTTCATCAGGTTCCCCGAACGGGGGCCACATACTTTTAGGACTGTTGTCGTTCCCGGACAGCTTAGACTTTACATAAAGCGTAGGGGGGGATTACGTAAATACACTATTATAATACTCTGTATTAATACATCAGTAAGACCAAGACCCACAAAACAGGGTACGGGCACCAGGCTTTTTGTTTTTTTATGTGCATTGTTCCTAAAATGCAGGGAGGTATCTTGTGCCCACCGCAGGCAATCTCCTGCACTACTGACAGTTTTGTTGATGGGCGGCCCATGAAGTGCCCACCGTGGGCACTTCAACCTAGAACTTGGCCACCTTCATATCATCCTAGAACTTAGCCACCAGCGCCAACCTAGCACGTAACGGGTGGGCTTGGGATTACGGTTACGGTTAGCGTTAGGTTACTAGCCGCTATAGTGCCCGTTCCAAAGCATATAATGTATTGTTTAGGAGTACACTGGTTCGGTTGAAAGGCTCTTGTTGGCCGCCCACGGGCTTCCCATGCGCTGCCCACGGGCTAGTCGTGGGCATGGGCATGCCCATGGGGAGCCCCATGGGTCGTTTGGGAAAACAGTAGAAAGTGTGGGAGACTGTCGCGCATCGGTCGGCACTCACACTCGGAAGCACATTGTTGCGCCGTTTATCTGTGGTTCATAAAAGCCTATCGATATGCATTGAATCCCCGTTCCCCTCCGCCGATGCATAGCCATACCGCCCCCCACCGAACCTAAACAAAACGCCTCTTGTTGCTGTTTCAAAAATATACATTTCTCAACGATAACACCCACCTCAGTCCAGGAAAGCATGATGATGCTGCTACAGCAGCAGCAGCAGCAGCCCCAGCCCATTTCGGCGCTGCGGGGGTGGGGCATGATGGGTAGCATCCCCGGTCATCATATCGACGGCCTCAAGTAAGTGGTGATTTGTCGGACAAGAGGACTCGAAACACACGGTAGCCCCGCAGGTGATATGTAGTCGCCATATATGCTGCTTGCACGGAGACGAACATTAGAAATACAGGTAGGTGTCATCTTATATGTTCCACTCGATATTGGTATGTTCCACGCTATATGAATTTATTCATCGCAGGGGAGACACCGTAGAAGATAAATTCCTCTGAAAACCGTAGAAATACAGAGAGGTTGGTGTCATCATGTTAGCATACCACGCTGTGAACCCTTTGCAAGTCTATCCCACTACATCTACCTGTCGTTTGGCAGCCCTCGCCCCCTCCACCCCGCCCTCATCTATCCTTTCCCGGTACAATCTACCTGTCGTGTGGCCGCCCCACCCCCCTCATTATCTTCCTCCTCCACCGGTGCCCCCCCCCCCCCCCGTTTTCTACCCACGGGCCCACGGAACTGGTCTGTCTTCCCAGGATAGCAGCCGGGATCGTCCCCGTTCCCCACCAGAAAAAGGGTTAGTTATTGTGATGAATGATCGTTAATTGTCATGGAAAAAGGTTAGTATTGTCTTCATAACAAAAGCAGCTCCATTGACTAAGCATGCAGGTGCTATCATTGTTGTGTCCCCCGGACTTGCGCCCTTGAAGCACACGCGGACTCGGAAACGACAGGACGCTATTTTGACTGTTGTAGCAGTAGCTAGCCCGACCGCAACTGCGTCGATGAGGGGCAAGCAATTTTTTATATCGTTTTTTCTTGCCTTTCTTCTTTTTTTTTGTCGCCGGCGCAGGGCTCTACGCCCCGGGACTCCTGAACGCTCGTGTCTCAAACGACAACCAGGTGCGATACAGGCACGGGTTCGTGGTCACCATGTAACGCTCAAACTTCATTGCGCGTGTGCCCAGGATCTTAGGACATTGTTCGTGATTTTCGCGGGGTTTTCGTTTAAAATAGAAAAGAAGAAGAAGACTCGCCGCAGCCTTGTCTCGGGGTTGCCCATGAGATATGATACGAACCCTTCAAATGCGTGAATATTGAAACACACACAGAAGAAAAACCCTCGTTCGTTTACACGCGCATGATGGGCGGAAACATGCGCGCGCAGTAGTAGTCGTGTCCTGGGAAATTGTTCGTTGTTTTTCATCAATGGCTCGCCGCAGCCTATCTATATCTTGGTTTCCGTGATAGACGGGGACTCGTTGACGGTGCTGTTGTTGTGTTTTCGTGAATATTGGCGGCAGATGGAGGCGTTCTCCGTCAAATACGTAGAGCAACGTCTGTTGCCAGCGTGGAGGATTAAACGCCAATCAGCGTAGCGTAGGCATGTGTCTATGCTTTGTTGTCACGTTTTGGTAGAGATATTATCGTCACGTTTGTGGGTAGAGATTTTATCGTCACCCTGGCCTAGATCTATGCTCAATCGCCCAACAAAGGGTGAACGCAACAGCAAGCACGTGCTACCGTGTTCGATTTTTGCCCGCCATGTTTGTAGGGTAGAGAGAGGGCAAGCTAGGCGGCAGACCGGGAGCAGCGGTCACTTTGCTACATTGTTCACTTGACGAGAGGAGTGCTCGTTTTCGTTTTGTTTTGTTTTTTCGCTCCCTCCCTTCCCTCCTTCTCCCTCCCCC